AAACTCAGGACAACGCCGACGGCGCTCTGATTCGACTTTTTACTTCAAACAAAGACAGTCGCACGCCCCGCAGCGCGGCGCGTGCGACTGTCAGGAGCGGATCCGTCAGTTAGTTGTGTTCACGCCGGGATCGTGTCCTGAGTAACCTGCCCAGACTTTAGGCTTGGACAGTAGGTAAGATGGCTGTGAAGGTGCCAGCACAGCCATTCTGTGTCACATTCCGAGGTCAGCCATCAGCGCTGTTCTTTAGAGCAAGGCGTCTGTGCGTGGAGGGCAGTCTGAACTCGTGTCTCACCTCTGGCGCGAATGCCCTGCGGGGCATCACTGGTGGAGCAGCACAGTTTCGCCAGGTGCGAGCGCGGCGTCAGCTTCGGCTGCCTTGGCACGTCACGCTCAATCTGGGTGCAAAACTGCCGAGGTGTATTCCGTTGTGCCGGCCGACGGCCCCCGTTCCGCTGCGGCTACCCGGAGGGCGCACCAGCGTACAACTGCAGCTGCGGCAGCGGACGAGGAGATCCATTCTGGACGCTTTCGGACGAGGAGACCCAGGCGCTCGCTCGCCCGCGCGAGGCGGAGGAGCGCCGCGGCGATTCGCCGCACCGGTTTGCGCTACTGCTTCACGGCATGCTCGGAACCGAGGTCCGCTCGAGCTCGTCCGACTTTCACAGCAAGTGGCACGACGGAGGCCACGCCGGAAAGCGCATGCTGCTCCGCCACTGCGCGGCGAGTCACCTCAAGTACGTGGTTGACGCGGCCGCTCGTGGGGAGCAAGTTGACGTGTTCGCACATTCTTGGAACCGGGAGGCCGCGCCGTGGTTCGACGAGGCGTACGGCGTCGTGCTGCGGGGCAGCCGGCACGAGCCGCCGCAGTACACCAGCCAGGCGCTCAAGGCGCGCTCGCAGGCCCTTTCCATCGGGCGGGCCGCCTTGCTGATGCGCGAGTTTGCAGCGCTGCGGAACGTGACGTACACCCTCGCGCTGGCGATCCGGACGGACGCGGTGCTCTCCTCGCCGGTAGACCTGCACCGGATGCCCGCGGAGACGGTCGCTCCGCCGCGCACGCGTGCTGCCTCTCCAACTAATTCAACGGTAATTACACCAGTGAGTAGGTCACCTTCGCGCACTGGTGCTGCAAGCATCGGAAGAGTCCGCCTGCGACTTGCGCGGCCGCGGGAGCGCCGCGCCCGCCTCATCTCGGCAAAATCTCAGCTATTTTCGGCCCTAGTCTCGGCTATTATACAGGCACACCCCGGCTGCCGCTCCTCGCGCATTGCGCCGTCGCCGATTACGCTGGCGCCCACCATCGGCGTGGTGAAATGTGCGACCGTACAAGCATGTGAGCTGTCCCCTCACGGCTCACGGTGGTTACAGGGCGGCAGACGTGGAGCGGTCGTATTTTGTGATGGATTGGTGGCTGGCAGGGCCGCCGGCGCTCGTCGCTTCGTGGGGTCGCATCGCGAGCGAGTGGGACGCGTACGCCGCGCGCAACGCGGAGCTCGGCATTGGCAGAAAGTGGAGCCACTTTCTGTGGGCGCAGCACGTGCACGAGGCTCTTGCGACACTCTTCCTCCTCCCTCGCCAGCACTCCACCTCCCTCCACCCCACCCCGCAGGCAGTATAGGCACCCTTGATCGGACCCTTATCCACGCGAAGGGACCATCGACAGGACCAGACCCTCCTCCCCACAGGTCCTGCGCATTACCCCGAGCTTCAGCTCGGCTGTGTGTGCTCAAATCGCGCGGCGTCACTTCGAGGTAACTTCAGGCCGTGCGTGACTCAGACACGCCTCTTCCTCCCCCCCACCCACCCACACACACACACACACAGCCGCCTCTTACCGCGTTCCTCTCCAACTTCCAGGCCGTGCGCGTCTTGCAAGACCGCGCGCGGCTCACCGGATCGGGCGATGCGCTGCTTGTTCACGCTTGGGGCGGCTGCTTCGTCGGACGCGACGGTCGCGCGCAGCTCGAGCCGACCCCCGAGCAGTGCCCGCGCCATTGCGAGCATGCGCCAGAGGTGGCGGCGGAGGAGGCGGCCGCTGCGGTGGCGGCAGCGGCGACGGATAGGTGGAGAGCGGCGGCGTGGGCGGCGGCGCGGGAGCAGGCGGCGGCGACGGCCGCGACCAAGCATGTGCGGACGCCTCGGCGACCCCGCCGCGCCCAACGACTCGCAAAACCAGGGCACGATGCGCCAGGAGTGTCGCGCGCCCAATGCAAGCTCGTGAGGCAGACGAGTTTCGCGCCGTGCGTGCTCGGGCGCAGTTTTGGGTGTGACCCTGCGAACGGCAGCATGTGGGTCGCAAATTGTCGAGGCAAGTTTCGCTGCGGCTCCAGACCAGTACATTGCGGTTACCCGCCAGGCCGCCCCCCGCCCCCCGCCCCCCCCCCCCCTCCGCCCTCGGCACCCCGCCCCCGCCCGCCCCCCTCAGGCCGTTCAGCGTACAACTGCTCGTGCACGCACGCCAAGTCGATGGATTTGGGGCTCTCGTCGCGCGCGCCTTTGCAGCGTGCCGTCATCATTTGGGCGGCCAGGGG